AGTAGCAGTAGCAGTAGCAGTAGCAGTAGGAGTAGTAGTAGTAGTAGTAGTAGTAGTAGTAGTAGTGCTGCTGCTGCTGCTGCTGCTGCTGCTGCTGCTGCTGCTGCTGCTACTACTACCACCACGACGACTACCACGACTACTGCTACTGCTGCTACTACGACGACGACGACTACTACTACTGCTACTGCTGCTACTACTACTACTACTACTACTACTACTACAAGTTGCTACGGAGACTACTGCTTCTACTAACCCACTACTACCACGACGACGACTACTACTACAACTAGTACTACTGTCGCGAGCTAGATGCGAGGCGAAGACTGCCAAACGCAGGACAAAAAGTGCCCGGTGGCACGAAACAAAATCATGCTAGCAAAGGAAAGAAACAATGGAGACCAAATGGAATACAGAAGACGCCGACTAGGCCAAGAAGTACTCCCCCGATTTCTTGTGCTTTTGAGCGGTATGTGCCCGTGCTTGTAGCATCACATGCACACACGAATCCATGCGAACACAAGCTGAGAGGAGTCAAGCCGACCGGCTGTTGATGGCGTGAGTGGGAAGAACTGTATATATATATATGCATATATGCCATTTTCGCACCCGTTGTAGGACTGTCCAACAAGAAATGTTGCCACATGACACCCAGCCATCAGCCACCTGGGTTTGAGCCATCACGACATTCGCCAAACTTCTCGGTGTACCGCCGAAATGCGACTTCGTCATCGTCGGACAGCTTTTTCTCCATCACCTGGATGGGCCAGGGTTGCTACTGCCTCAAGTTGAAATAGATTTGGATAACCTACCGAGCCCGGCACAACAGCGATCTCTTCAACCTGCGCCACTGGACTTTCAGCAGTGGACACGGAACTCCTCAGTTCTCGTGCTTCTGAGATCTAGCCCGACGGAACATCTTGATCGCACACAATCCGAGACTCTCAGATGCCATCTCTGCGGGGACCAAGTCGGGCATGGTGCTATCTGAACTCACCTCTGGCACAGGGGTCTCACATCGACATGCATGAAAGCGCAGGGGGAGGGGCCTCTTCACCCTGGCGAGAGGCCCACTGTGAGAACCCACGGCGCCTTGACTGAACCTTCCGGAGAATACACTCTAAGGTGAGTCGGGACGTCAAAGCAAGGCACCTTGTCTTCTTGGGTTCCGCCAGTCTTTACAAGTAGCTCCTTGCAAATTCACATGGCCTCACCCACCTTAAGCTTTCAATGTCCCTGCTGTCCTTGCCACGGAGATTGGGGCTAACCCACCCCGAGGCAGGCCCTTCGCCCGTAAGAAGCTCATAGCAAATTCGTCCATCACAGGAGTCGGTCTCCTCCAGCACATGTCTGCACTGCGTTTTCTCTCAAGGTACGACCCCGTGTTGGCACAAACACCGAAGCACCAGCAGCCCGTCCTTCACTAAAGATCCGGTGACGAGTCGACTGTCAGCCAAATCCGAGCTCAGATCACAGCCGGTACGAACTATGATTCCCCCGCGCTCTGCACCACCAACGACCTGCGGCATTTTCAACCCATTCACTCACCTTCGTTATGAAGTGTCTTAGGACTGTTGCACAGAAGCGAGATTGCATGGTGCATGTAACGACTTACATGCATCTTCTCACAGGGACGAGAGGATATGGTGTTGCGATCCCGAGGCTTGCAAGCACAAGGCATGCACCCAACCCCTCCTCCCACACGGTGGCCATATCGGAAGTTGGCTAGCAACACCTAAAGACAGCACCAGCTTGGGCCGAAGCAGGCCGGACCACGTTTCAGATTAGCGGCTGAAGGCATGAGCAGTGCAGCCGCCGAACATTCTGCGCATCTTAGGACTCTGTTTCTCCTCTGACACAGAGCGCCTTTGAAGCATTCCTGCTCCTGCCTAGCCTTGGTGGCAACGGCGCCCCACACGCAAGGGTGCTGCGGTGTGAAGCAGCTTCCACTGTTTCGGGAACCTCGTCACCGGCACCCGGCCAGACCCGGGGGCAGACCTGCAGCAACATACAAGCTACCAAACCCCATAGATCTTCACCGCCTGCATCTCCTTCCCACATTGTAGCCATCGATTTCTCTTGCCGACAATCCTGTCAGTGTCTTTGCGGGCTGGCGACTGTCCGGACACGTCACGAAGCAGTTTCCCATCGACTTGTCCAATCTCCACAGGCGAGTCAAGAGGAGCAGTCAACCGTTGAATCCGATCACAAGACCTATCGGCCTGACGGACCAAAATTCTCAGCCATACATCGTCTACGAAGCCGCAGTAGGTTTTTTTCCGTTGTGCTTTCGCTTGTTGGCGACTCCTCGGCCTCGCTCTCCACTTACACGAAGCGTCGGGCGGAGAGTTGCGCGGGAATGCAATACCACGGTGCACTCACAACAAGTGCCCAACATCACCCGGAATGCGTCTGATGGTAGCCTTCGCCCAGCCGTGGGACGGACTCGACAAGTCCTGCCATCTGACAACTGTACAAACATGATGCAATCCTGCAGCATCGGACTGGGACCTAGTTTCAACACACAGGCTCCAACGAGTACACCGGGCTGGCTGCGTAGAGCTGCGAAGTCGCGTACAACACGCCGGCATGTACGGCGATACGACTGAAGTTCCGCCCTGTCTCAGGACACAGATGGAATGTTCCAGAAAACAACACGTGCAAGCGCATTCTGCTGCCGCTCTCAGCTGGGCTGTCGTAGACTACAAGCGAAATAAGGCCTTCCAGCAAAAGCTCCCAGTCGGTGTAGATCGACATGGCATTCACATCCTGCTGATAAATGTTGCCATCTAAGCCCGCAGCAAGCATGACCTCAGATGAAACCTTAACACGGTGCCAGCAAACGAGGCGGCCTCTGCCAGCAGCAGTACCAAGCTTCAACCGATGCGCAAAAAATGAGACAAGCAACACCATCGTGGATGGCCAGGGCCTGGACACGCCCGCGAGACACGGCGGTCCAGTCAGAATCCGGGCTCACGGAGCGAAGCGGTCCTCATGACTTACGCAGCTGGGGCGATGAGAACACATGAGGATGCACGCGCGCACACACGCAGGGCCCACATACATTTCTACACATACACATGTACACACACACACACATACACATGCAGTACACATACACGGAAAATACATATACACTCTCCGTTGGGATGGAACCACTGATTGATGACAACACTGGATGTGTTGTTGAAAAAAGAAGAAGCTAATCTGGATGTCACGAGGCCATATATTTTTGTTGGTACATCCAACAACCTGATAAGGCTGGAAACCCACCGAACGGCATTTTCAATGCGTTCTGCAGGAATGGAAGTACGACAAGGTTTTGATTGGACTGCAACAAATGATGTTCGAAGTGAGTGTGTTGGAAAAAACTTTGGAGACGAGTAAACACCTCGGGCATGGGTTCGTCCCCACAAGAATTTGCAAAGACATTTTCCATCATTGCCATCAGTACAGAGGCAGTGCATCGAAACAACCTGGCAAAGTAGCTGCAGCATCGATGACTAGCATGCATCGTATGGCGAGGGCCAAGCCAAGAACCCCAGGCAGAGAATGGTGTAACAAGCTCTAGCGTTCAAGTGTGTTCTCGACCGGCATTGTGTCAAAGGGCCGGGCGTAGCCGCTTGATCTATAACGAAGATCACTTATGCCTGCAAAAATTCCATTCGACCTGCCTGATGACTGCTCCAATTTTTCTTGATTCACTGTTGCTTACATGCCAGAACTGCATCAGCAAGTCGTTTCGGCTTTAACAATAATTTCACATGCATCATGACGGGGCTGCAGCTTTGACTTGCGAGCTGTCATGCTGTGCCCAACACGACATGAGGCCAGGACCGAAGCCCCGACATGTGGGCAGGACTCTTAACCCGACGCCGGGCATCATGACGGGGCTGCTTCCGTCATGATCAGCCCTAAAAGGGCATGGCTTGACCTGACATCATGCGGACCCCAAATGTACAAACTTGAAGTTGGGCTCAAAAGCACCAACTTCGCGGAGACGCTGCAGTGCTTTGTAAGTCTGTTTGTTAGTTACTGTGCAGGAATGATGCGCAAAGACACACACACACACAGACACACACGCGCGCACGCACACACAGATACACACACACGATCCATAGCCAGTTGTGAACCATGCATTTTCCGAAATAGGTAACACAGATGACTTCTCAACATAGCCAAATAACCCAGACATGACTCCAGAAACTCTCTGCTCAGTAACCCCGATATCATAATCATACTTACTGTCATACTGCATAATGCCATCTTCACCGTACAAGAAAATCGCCGTATAATCGCTGGCACCGTCTTAGACTCAGTAGACACTCCTAAGCCAAGGAATCTCATGATTCAGAGGCCCAACCAAAGACGACCGTGAAGTGACGTGACCGAAGGTGGCAGGCAGCACTGCACAAGTTCATATGTTCTGTCCTACGGCTTTCCACGTGTCACGGTCTTCAGCCCTCTGCCCCAACGTTGCTTCAGCCGCTCAGGCTCCCAAGGAGAGGACACAGCGCCACGAAAATCAAAAATGCCACCGTGCCGCGCACGTGCAAGGTGACGGCTAGGTCTTCGAAGTAAACGTCCCAAATCTTCCGTACAATATCGTACAATCCACTGATCCACTAATGTACCCAGGACTGATATCTGTGAGCATCCAAGAACATATACGCAACCCGTTCTTCTGTTGAGAAACCCCAAATCCTAAACCCAACACACGGAGATGTGTGTGAGCCCTACTCCATCAATTAGCCAGATAAACACACAAACACACACACACACTCTCACCGACTCACAGAGACACATGAGCAAGCACATGCTCAAGGCACAAGGACACTACTGGGACGCCGACCTAAGTGCTTGTAGACTTGGTGGCCGGAGACTGCAAAAACCGCCTCACCGCTCGCTGCCAAATACTCCTCGGCGCACGAACGGTACGTCTGTGAAAGGAAGGAACAGCTCCTATGCTTTGAAAACGAAGGAAATACTTCAGATTCAAATTACGGGAGGCGCCGCAAGGCTGAGGGTGAACAGACGACGACCTTCTGATCCGGGCGTGCGCAGAAAAAACAGAAGCACAAACAAGCAAACAGACACAGCTTGGCGAGAGCCATCCAGAATCGAGAGCAGGGAAACATAAACAACAAGAACCACAAACGGAAGCACCAAGACCTGAGCTGGAGCACTCAAACCTCCCGCCAGATGGAGCAGCAGCTGATGGGAAAACCAAGATTTATGAAGATGCTGCCTGCAGTCAAACGGTCCAGCAGCCACTGTCATCCAAAGATGTTGCAAGGTCCTCGCTCTGGATGCCACTGCTCGAAACAAGGCTCCAGTCTCAAAAAGCGCATACAGGTGCTGCTGCTCCTGGGCACACTGGGCACGGTCGATAGCACCAGGACGAATGCGGGAGGCCGAGGCCTAGGCCTAGGCCTAGGCTCAAACCCTAGGCTCAAACTATCTCCAATTTGTGCCTGGGGTCTTGGTCCAAAAGAGTCTGAGTCAGCACCACGCTGAGGCTGTCATCCTCTGCTCTGTTCGGTGTCTCAAGCGCCTCCAGGGCAGCTGCAGCCTGCACTTCCCGAGTTTGCAAGAAGCGCGTGCACACCTTTCGTGCGTTCCTCGGATCGCGATTTCACGCTTGTTCGAAGCCTCACTTTGTTGTGGACTGGCCCCAGTCTTCTCCGACTTTATGCAAGCCGAGAGACTCGCGCAAAACATGCACTTCGGCAGTGTTTAAGAGCACGTCACGCAAGCGAGGCAGAAGGTTTGAGGGGTTCGAATCCTCGATCAAGACACCATAGGAGCTGAAGCGGATGAAGCCATCAAAGGGTGGAACCCAACTAGCATCTGCCATTGCGACTGGGATGCCACCTGAGCAGACCGCCTCGTTAAAACGGGAATTGCGATAATTGGCTGTTGCAAAGACGAGGAGAAACACCGAGTTCCACAACAAGAACTCTGCGTCATACTCCGCATTCGCGTCGTCAACTATCACCACGTTGTGGTTGTCATGCAACGCTGCGACTTGTTTTTCCCAAGGTTGTTCCCACCTTCCCTTAAAGCTCACTAAGAAGCGCTTGTGCTCAAGAGGTTCCAGGAAGGACATTGACGCAGCCTCTCCCGAACAGCGAGGGGTTGGTTCCGCAGGCATTGAGACGTCGACTCCATATTGAAACGTGCTGCGCCTGGCACCCAACAAAAGCCGGCTGAAAGAAGTGTCCCGTGGAAGGCCCTCATCACCCATGTCCGACAAGACCAGCAGCTTTCCGTCCAGGTGTGCATGTAGCCGCAGCTGCCGATATCCTGGCCACATGCTTCCGGATCAATTGGCCGAACCGGAAACAACCGGCGAAAGCAAAACGCTCGACAACATCAAGAACATCAGTTCAAAAGCTATCCGGTGCAGACCGAACCCGAAGAAAGTCGGGACCTCCTAGTCCGAAAGAGGCTTTGCGGGTTCAACACAAGCCGTCCTTCGTAGATCTGACCTGGTGCACACGATCGGCCTGGAAAGGATAGCGGCCTTGTTACATCAGGAAGCACCGAGTAGCCAGGCACCAAAACGATGTGGGCATGTTCCAATTGCATGGCCATACAACTCGACGACCTCTTGCGAAGAGAAAGGAAGGCATGATGCAGTGAGCCTGCAAGATTACTCAACAGGCAACCTTGTAGCTTGGGTGCAAACGCCTCGGTCTCTGTGACGCTCATGATGTAGAACAGAGTCGGCGAGGACCATGCTGCTGCCACACACCTGCCCACCTTCAGAGGATGTGCCCAGCTTTTGGAAGCAAAACATGTGCACAACCCTTGCAAAGAGACCACTGTTGTACGGTGCTGGCCACGGCTTACCATGCAGCCCATGCGCCCCCAAGCTGTCAGCCGCAGATGCAGAATGTTTCGACGGTGCAGTGGGGCGAAAGCTTGTTAAAGAAAGTTGCTGTGCAACCGACTCCGCTTGGACCTCCAGAGTCCTCTCCGAGCGCGACAGCTTAGACGAACAAAGCACACACACACACACACACATGAGAGGACTGTCGGCCTGAAGCGCGAAATGCAAGCATCCATCGCTCGCTGCCGCAGTTCTAGTCTGGATAAGCCGTCCAGAGCACGTAGCTTCACCATCACGCTGGGGATCTCATCGTCGCGGAACCGCAGCCCGTAGGATTCAAAGGGCAACAGTTCTTGCAAGGGTGGGACCCACTTGCTTGAAATCAACACCGGAATGCCTCCTGAGCAAACGGCCTCCGCAAAGTGAAAGGTTTGGAGCATGTCTCCCTCAAGAATCAAGCTGAAGATGGAGGAATACAAGAGCTGATCATAATCGTAGCTGTCATCTAGCCGATCCACGATGATCACGTCCAGGTCATTGTGGTGCAGATGCGCTAAAGTTGCACGCACCTGGTTGTGCCGCAGCTTGCCCTTGAACGTAGCAAAGTAGCGCTTTTCGTCCAGTGATTCCCGCATGGCATACATGGCCGCTTGACCTGCACATCGTGACAGCGGCCCTGGAGGTAGAGAGACGTCAATGCCTGGCCTGTGAAACCAAACTGGGGCTCCAAGACGCAGGATAAGGACCCTGGGGTGGTTGTAGAAACTCAGATCAGGAAGCCAGGCGCTTTGCACACGACCAGAGCCATCGATGATTGCGACGGATTTCCGAGCAAACTCTCGTGCATCAATAAGCCGTCTGTACGCTCCCATGGTCTGCTCATCGTAGCATTCCCTACCAGGTCGGGAGATGGTCCCTTCTGATTCGCAGTTGCCTCCATAGTGTGGCCAATGGCAGTTGTGAAAAGTGTAACCCGGAATCACAATCACAGATGCTTCGGTCAGGTCGCTTGCACATGGGCTCGAGGCTAAGCCTCGACGTAAAACCTCCGCGTACTCCAGCAATCTGCACTCTGCCAGCTCGGGAGAGTGAGCCTCTGCGACCTCGGGGCTGAGGACATGAAAGGTGCGCTCACACCGCCAAGCCAGCACCACGTGGGCCGCACAGAATAGCAACCTATGCGTTTGAGCCATGTGGCTCGGAGGGACGCTATTTGAGCACCATGTTGCCTCTGAAACGCACGCACGGCACTGCAGGGCATGCTGTCTTTTCACAAGAAGAATCACGAGAAGGAGAAACTCCAGTCCTTTACAAAGGCAGCTACTTGTGTGCTGTGAATTCGCTGTGATATCAGACAGCTGCCAGACACTGCTAGCCAGACTATCCCATGCTCCGATCCAATTCTCGGAGCCATGCATGCGGCAATGCTGGAATCAAGACCAAGCAGGATATTCCGGAAGAGTATCAAGAGCATCGTGGATTCAGAACTCGGGGTCCAGACGGAGTCTCGTGCATCAGCCGCGTAACGCATGCCACTGTGGGGCTCGGCGTGCAGCTGTCGCATGCCATCCCCTAAAAGTCCCGGCACTGTGGCCGCTGCACTCTGCTATGCAGTCGATGCAACATCCACGACAGTCATCGAGACGCATGATTCTCCTGAAACTCTCTCGCAGGAGGCCTTTGAGTTGATGCCACTGACATGCTGTCAAGCTGCATCGGAGCCACTCTTGTCCGGGCTCTCCCGGTTGATGCCCAAGGGGTTGAAAAGTCTCTCTTTCCTGAGACTACCGCAGTATATTTTGCGACATCGTGTAAGGCATTGAGTGGCAAGACAGTGCTTGGATAAGCAATGCTGCAATGTTCGTTGTGATGCGCCTGCTGTCATGGCGGGACAGAAAGGATTCTGATTTGTGTTAATCGCAAATTCCCACTGCCCGGTCAATTTGCCAACGAAACTCACATTGCCCTGAAGCTTTTCAGCTGCACCCGACCAAACCCGCACAGATGCACAGCTCCAGAGCTGTCAAGGCACAGTTCGCGGAGTCCTGGGCCAACCTTGGAAGCAGCGCCTGCCATGTGTGTGACCTCGGTGACCACAAACAAAGGCCCACCGTTCAGCTGCATCGTCTGCTATGAGTGATTCTACGTGTGGTTGGCATCTTGGAGGCGGAGTGCCGACCCACCTTCGGGTACAACACACGGAGGATCGTGATTATCGTGTTTTTTCTTCTTCCTCTTGATGCTCTGAAGACCTCGGACCTAGAAGCCGGCAAAGCACCGGTGCTACGTAGCCCACGCTGGGTCTCGCAAGGCCACCACAACTTTAGTTTGAAAGCCCTGCACCTCCAGTCCAATTGAAGTGCTTATGTTTGCTGTTGGCTACGGGCAGTCATTCCTTGCAATCGTTTACAACATCTTGACGCACTGCGCTCGAACCCAGCACGCGCCTCTATGGCCCGACCTTTTGCCCCACGCCCTTCTGAAAACGGCCCTGAGGGCCAGACCCAGGAGGGAAGCTGTCCAACTCCGAGAAGTTGGCAGAGCTCATCGCTGAAGTGGCAGCAATTCTTGTTCAACAAGTCGTACTCCTTGGGTGCTGCAAAAACGGTGGCTGCAACCTCGCCATGGAACATGTCATGCTTTTCTACCGGAAGCCCACGCTGCAAAGCCGCTAAGCGTCGCGACCCGGCCAGCGCTTGGCCATCTCGGAAAGAAGCATCCGCACTTCGAAAGGGGAAAAGTCTGTGCAGCCCATGTGAATAGCCTCTCAATGTGGCAGAGAGCCTTATATGCCAACTTGTAGATTGTAGCCTGAACTTTACATCTTCACGGCACGGTGCCTCTCGGTAGGAGTGCTCTTGGCACTCTCCCGGCTGGTTTTCAAAGATTCCATGACCCCTCACCGTCTGCCCGTAGCTCCACTCCCTGCACTGAGCGGCACAAAGCACAAGCTTGGGAGGCGCTCGCAAGTTCATTGGCTCTGGCAGAGGCCATGGAACCCGCAGGGCACCCGGCCTCCCATGAACTTCCACGGCAGCGTGGAAGGCACCCGTCCCAAAAGGGCGCAAAACCTGCTGGCTGGCGACTGCGGATCCACGTCATGTCTCAAGGCGACGCGGACAAAAAGATGCAAATGCCTCATTCACAACCTGCATGGGCGCAGTGCCAGTGACGTCCTTAGCCATGATTTGTCGAACACATTGTACTGGACAGCCGTGGAGCCCGATGGACGCTCTCAGCCTGCTGCATAAATGTGGACGATGACTGGCGACGGCGCAGCAGAGCAGCAAAGATTGCCCATCTTCAACGAAAATGAGCAGAAAAGCGAAACTTGACCGCTGCGGCCGATGGCTTTGGGCACGAACGGCTTTCGGCGCAGGGAGATCCGAATTTCCACACATGCCATGCCGGCATGGACAGGAAACAGCTGAGGAATGCATGCTAACACTTGGCACCATGCGGAGGTCTGCGACTTCAGTCTCCAAGGCGAGCTTCTGTACTTGCACTGCCTGGCGCCAGCATTGAGAGCATCTTCTTGCCACCAAGGGACCGTGCCGAGGCAGCGCCTCGTAGAGCTGCCACTTCCGCCTCTCGTTCTCGAGCTCCGTTTCCATCGAAAGGGCCTCTGGAGGAATGGCTGGCTGAAACTCGAACTCTTCACCGCCAGCCAGCGATCTCCATAGTTCGATGATCAGCGGTCCTTTTTCGATCGCATGTTCGGGCCGCCCGGAGCATCTAAGATGTACACGACTAAAGCAGCTCAACAGGCAGCCACAACCTTCAACCTAATCATCCTACGCCTGAGAACTGAGGAAACTGACGGGGTTGAACCGACAGTTCGCAGGACTTTCTGGTGTCAGATTTCGACGACAGCCGGTGAAGGACCCCAGGGCAAGAAGGAAACGGAAGAGTGCCCAGTGATCCTGCGGCTGGTTACAATCAAGTTAATCGAGATGGACCCACCTTGCCGAATGATTTCCACGAGGATCCTCAGGAGAGTAATGTAGGAACCTGGCGAATCGCAGCTGTGCTCTGTTGCGGAGTGCTGGCAACGTCTGCTCTGCCGGGGGATGCATCGGAAAACCACTCCACACACGTCTTCTTGCTCGCATCAGACATGTCAGTGCTGTGCCAAGCAGCCGCAGGCTCACCAACAACAACGCCGTTGCCAGCAGGAGATCGCATGAATTCTGCCAACCTCATTGCCAAGCAATTCTTACAGGAGCTGGCCCAGATGTACTAGTACGAGTAGCATACCCAGCCTTTCTAGCCCTCAGACCTGGCAATCTTCAGCTTTCTGCTCTGACGGATGCATCCTGCCGAGCTGCAAACCGCCAGCATCTCCAGGGGCCACGAAAGATGAGCTTGCCCGAGGCTGGCTGAAAGCTTGCCCAGCTGTAAGGAAGAAGGCTCTCCATACGCCTACAATGGCAAGTCAAGTGGGTGCTTTCTGCGAAACTGACACGGAAGCAAGTGTGCTCTTCACCACAAGTGTCCTCGGTGCCCTGAGATTTTGGAACGAGCTGGAGACTGGTCTGCAGAAACTGCTCAAGCGCAGTCCTCAATGTTGGGGGAAGATCAGGAGAAATCTCTGCCCACAGACTTCCACTGCAAAGCAACCACCAACTGATGGGAAGCATTTTATTCGAGTTTGCGACACTTCACCACTGTCGGAGCTGAGCACGGTCGCTCTTTCGGGAAGAGTTGGATGTGGCGGCTTCCGAAAAACGCTGGAGTCTCAGCTCTTTGCAAGAGATTCCCTGTTCTGTCCAGCTGCACGCTCTGCTCTCTTGCGATACCTGCAAACAGCTGGCTTGTAAACATCAACACTTGGGACAGGATGCCTGTGCACTTTACAAAAATGCCTTTCAAGCCAATCTGAATTCCACCACGGTAGATGGCTACCTGACGCACAACCAGGATGCAGGAGAAATGCTCTCCTAACGATGACCGATGTGCTGAGAAGCCGGTCGAGTCTGAGGTCGAGGCCATTGGATATGTTGTCACATGCTGATCGTTGCAGAGAACCTTGTCCACAGCGCAGTCAACCTGGCACACCAAACAGTTCTTGCGACCTGCTGAGGTCGCCGAATAACCCTGCTCCATGGTCCGGTCTTTGGCCTGCGCAAACCGCACCCGCAGAATTGAAGGGTCCGTGTTCAGCCTGCTTTCGTCAAACATCGCATGTTCGAAAGGAGCAATGGTGGCTAAAAGCAGCACCACCCTAGGTCATGGGATTGTCAAGAAGCTCACTTTGCCAATGTTGTGCCGCTTCTACGAAGATCTGCTCCAGCTGTTGGCATGGTTGCCACCATCTTGGGCAAAAGGACACCACCCACTGCCTCAATGCATAAGCTGGCACTCAAGTCTGTCTCCCTAAGCAGGTCAAGCTGCTCCACGCCACCACCCAAAGGCTTCCTCGCGAGTACAGGGTTTGAGTCTCTTTGCTCACGTCGGGCCGCATCGGAACCCCGTGTGAGCTTAGTGTGCTGCAGCACATTCCCCGCGAAGATGTGCCGGTTCAGGTAGGCGACGGCCTCCTTCGATGCGGTCCTGACTAGGAGAAGGGAGGCTAGCAGGGCTTCTACAGGGGATGTGGGCTGCAATCCCAGCAAGTCCTGGCCGCTCGAGCTTCTTGCGGCAGGGAAGTCAGGACCTGTGGCATCTCCGCGGCAGCTGCCTGGCCTAGCCTCAGCTGCCCTGAAGCTCCCACTACGTGAGCAAGAGGTCCCTTCAGCCAAAGATGCTGAATCGATGAGGTCAGGAGCAGCAAGCCCACCACCATCATGCGACACTACGGACTTGGACAAAGTCCAGACTGGAGCTGCGTCATTGGCTGCATCAGTCTCGGGCCCAACATATCGGCCAGAATTGGTTGAAGCTCTGCGGTTCCACAAACCACTGCGCAAGTTTGACCGCCTGTCAGGGTGTCTTGCTTGCGGGCGAGCTTGGAACCGGCCAGCATTAGCATCGCTGCTCCCAGTGTTTTCTCACGGTTAGCATTATGACCGTCTCTGGTGCTGCTGGTCAGAGTATTTCGCGGTCTCGCGCATCAACCCCAAGCAATGCGGCTCCTCTCCACAGGCAACCCATGCCAAAAGTGCAAGAGACAGCGTTCGTAAAGCTTGAACTCAATTGTTTGCATTTGGGACATCAAGGACACAGCCAACGTGAATATTCTACCACACAGGCCAGCTATCGTTGTGCGCTTTCACGTTGCTTATTTGCGGAGTGGGACAGTGATGCAGGCTGAGCGCTGCCAAAATGACGCAGGTCTCGGTCTAGGGCTATGTCAATCATTCTCTGGTCGTCTTCGCAGGTCGTCGCAGTCGTGGCGGTCGTTGGTGGTCGAGGTATAGTCGTGGTGTTCGTCGTGGTCGTCTTGGTCGTCTTGGTCGTTCGCAGTGGTGGTCGTGATGGTCGGGGTGGTCGGGGGTGGGTGGGCTTCCTCCGCCCAGCGGCCTGGCAGCCTAGTACACACGAGGGACCCTGCTCCAAAAACACGCTGCAAACGTCCTGCCATGGGCAGCCAGCAAAGTGCCGCACGAAGTCGCCTTCCCTCCATTCGTGCGCCGACCAATCCGTGGAGGCCGGAGGAACGTAGGCATTGAGGTGGGCCTGGGGCAAAGGTGCAGTGTGAAGGCAGCTAAGGGCAGCTCCTACTCTGTATGCTCTCGGGCACTTTGCCACGGCCTGGTGGACCAGTGCGACTTCAGGAGGCCACATGTAGTCTGCTTGCAGCAGGGACGGCTCCAGTTGCTCAGCCAGCAGCCCAGCTTTCAAGATCTCCCAGAAGAACATGGACTGATCCCAGGCAACTGCAAACTGACTGCTCGCGACTTGCTCCAGAAACGAGAGTGACCACTCACTCCTTCGGAAAAGAAGCGTCCTTCATGCAAGCGGCTTCAAAGCTGCACCACAGCATATTGATCTCGGATTTGTTCTTGGTTTAATACTGAGCCACGGTGTCCACTTTCCTGTCGCTCCTACACCCCCTAGGCACATGCAGTGTACATCTACCTACGGGTCAAGAAACTAACTACCGGCTCTAGCACTCAGGCCATGAAGACAAGATTGACTTGCATCCTTCCCCGCCCAGGTCCCTGTGTTGATGCCACCCGGATCTTCTGCAACCAGGAAGTGCGGGCCGGCAGCGCCGCCGGCCCCATAGGTCTCCAGAATATCTTGCAAGCTCGTGCGTGCATCTGTGAAGAAGGCATCGCAGTCGATGAAAAACACCCAATCCGGCGGATCTGGTGCAAGAAACGCCTCAATTTACGACGGAAAACCCGCGCTCTTCGTCAAAAACAAGCTTTAACATGCTTGCATGTCACCTGATGGATCACCAACATTTTGCTATAATGAGCTTCTCGGTCTGGCAGAGGCAGCTCTTCGTGAAGAACGTACTTGTACTCATGGCGTTCCTTGGCCCCAAACGCTCTCAGACTCAAGATTTGACATGCGTGCTGCCTACCCCGGATCTGGCTTGCAGGGGCTCGGAGTAGGCCCTGTGGTTCGGGACGGAGAGCTCGGGCAGAGGGCAGTTGGCGCCTGTCTGCGATGTCGGATCCGGGCCTCAGGAAAGCTGGCTTCTCACGATGTTCAGTTCGTTGAAACTCGGCACTGACAAGCAGCGATAATTGCAGATAGAGTGGACTTCGAACCGAGGTTTCCGGACATGCGCTGGAAATCTAACCTCAACTGCCGCCATGCGAACTCTCCACTCTCCAGCCCAAAGGACATTGAACCGTGCATCGTGCTGCTGTCGTGTGCCGCCATGTGTCGATGGCACGCTGCGGAGTCTTCAGTCCCGCATGGAGCTGCGTCACGGCAATTGTGTACTCCACCTCTTCAAAACAAGTTCGCACCTGGCCGCACCAATCCAGCAATTATGATGCAAGTAAGAAGCTTGAAGTCGCGGCTCAAACCGCTTCCCACGGCCAGCATCCTCAAGTCTTTAAGTCTTTTAAAGGCTTGCCCTGGAACTACAGATGAACAAGGGCGCAGTAGGCTTGCTTGAAGTATGCCGTCTTGATAGAGCATCTTTCTGGCATGATCGTAAATGGTAACACAAGAGGCCTCTCTTGAACCAAGTCAAGCAGGATGTTGCGCAACAGATCCAAACGATGGAAGTGGGAAATATGAGAGCAGGCTTGACTGAGAGGTGCTGGTACGACTGTTATCTTCCCACCATGTGGCGCTCAACCGTCTTAGAGTTGCGTCCAGGTTCTCCTACCTCACTTTAGGTCCCACTTGCCGAGCATCCATTCAGCTGCAGCCAAACATGTGCACACACACACACACCCACACAGAAATACAAGATCGGAGGTGTGGACAATGGTTGGATGAACGAACAAGCAACCACTACAGAAACGAAAATTAGCGAATAGGAATTTGCAGGCGCACGCGGTGCAACATGATTTCTTCTGCTGCGAATTGCCTGTCGCTCTCCCGCGCTCTCAGCCGAGGGTCCCCGGAATCCGGCAGGGTGTTGTACCAGCGAGCCATGGCCTGGATCCGGGGGCGAGCTGGGATGCGCCCACACAGCCGCCAATTGTCGCTTGAGAACACGTTCTATGCGCATGGGTGGCTGGTAGAAAGCTAAGTAGACACTTGATCGTCATTGTGCCCCTATGTATGTCTGCATGCCTGGATGTCTGGAAGGATAGATAGATAAATCGATGGTAGATAGATAGATAGATGGATAGATAGATAGATAGATAGATGGATGAATAAACAGACCGATAGATAGATAGATAGATAGATAGACAGATAGATAGGTAGGTAGGTAGGTAGGTAGGTGGGTGGGTGGGTGGGTGGGTAGGTACGTGGCATACATACATATACACATATATGCCTGTAAGTATGTATGTATGTGTGTATGTATGTATGTATGTATGTATGTATGTATGTATGCAGGGCGAACTATAAGCATAAACGTATGCATGCGTGCCTGTCTGTATGCATATGTGTACGTATGTGAGGGTCGAACTGACGAATATTCAAAATCTCAAACCCTCGAACTTGGAGCAACTTCGGACATCCAGTGGACTCCAAACTTTCCAAACTTCAATACTTCGAGCTTTGAGCTCCAACACCATTGCGAGGGACACAAGTTTTAAGTATACGGTGGGCATGCATGTGTAAGTGCATGCACGTGTTTGTACTATTCTGCATTTACAAAAACATGTATGTATGTAAATATGTGTATACATACATAGTATACATGTATTGTTCACATACTTACATACATGTCGTGTGTCTGTGTGCCCGCATATGCGTGCACGCGACAACCTGCCGCAAACCTTGCGATACCATGCCATGCTGTATCATGTTTCACACACCACATGCGGGGCCCAGGGCCTGGATCTTGAAGATGTTCCCCAGCTGCATCAGACAACGTGCACGGCTAAGGTGCCCGTTGGCTAAAGCCTGGGATGGAAGAGACGACACTGGGATTACCCAATGACCGACAGCTCTGAAATGCTGAATGCTGGTGCAGGAGCTAGTTCAGCCACCAGTTTGAAATGCTTCGCCGCTTGCACCGGGCACGTGTATGTGCTGTCCAGGTTCTTCATGAGCATGCCCAAACCCTCCAGGCCAGCCATGAGAGCAATGAGCTTGCTCCCAGCGCCAGGGTTATAGTTGGCCGACCTCAAACCAACCAAGACTTGACACCTGTTCAACCCACACGTGCGCAACAATCACTTCAAGTTTGCGCAGAGTCTTGAATCTTTAACACCGTCTACTCTGACATGATCCGCTGTAAAACCCGGAACCTCGTGAGCATAAGTCGATCAACATCCGCTTCCCTGAGATATCACGGCTTCCACCCCGCATACGGCAGTTGCAATCGCCTGGACTCTCATGGTCTATCCTCGCAGAGTCCTGCTGCTCTCGACTTCATGCTCTGGCGATACCTGCACTTTCCATTCCTTTATTCTGCTGCTTGCTTGACCTACATATGCACTAGAATCGCACTGGAGAGCGTCGGTATTCCCCAGATAACGACTTCTCCCGAAGCTTTTGCCACCGGCCCGATCAAAAGATTGTTGTGCCTCCGTCCACCCCCTTGACAGGGCTCCTCGTTCAAGTTCTGCTGGTCACGAGCAAGAAAACCCGCCCTCACCCTACTCTACAGGTGGGCTGCGTCTGGCATTTGTTTCTCCGCTAACCCCAGACTATTGCATGACTAAGTTTAGAGGGATCGCGATCGACCTGTGGCCTTTCGGAAACCTCCCACAGTTTGTTTTGTTTACATAACAAGACAGGGTCAAATACTTGCAAGGAGCCAGTCTATGACATGACAGGATTTGATGTGTGGTATGACATGGCATAGTGCGATATCATCACACTTGAGTGCCGGAACTATGGGAATGTCTGTGTAAACATACACAAGCATCTCCATCTCCTGTAGCTGCCCATGAAACATCTCACGCATTTTCATTGCAGCGGCACGTGTGTCACGGCTGCTTCCTGCAATCCTTTTTGTGGCTATCTCCACTTTAAGGCCCGGACTGTGCCTCGAAGAAGTGCGTCTGAAGTTGCGTCCAAAAGCTCCTGGGATCTGGCTTACTTCTGAACGACACAGGCTGAGCAAGCCGCACAAGTGCGGGTTTCTCTGGCAAGCGAGTGCTGCAAGAGAGCTGTCTTGGTGGCCACAAGTGCTTTGTACACCCAGCTTCAGAAACACAGGTCGGCATCATAATGGCGAGTCAGAAGTTTTGTGATTTGCGCACCAAACTTTCCATCGGTATACGCACCTGCATTGCATGCTCGAGTAAAGGGGTTCGCTACGGTTCGCTGCTGACTGTCTATTCCAAAAGTTTGAAGTCGTCCATTTTCTCCTGTGATGGGCGTCTCGATTTTTGGTTCCCTCATGGCAACCCGAAGCATAGCCGCACTTCTGACGTGTGCATTGGGCGTCTGAGCGTGTTGTAACCAATGGACGGTGCTGACGGCCCGGGTGGCCAATCCTGTCGCGTTGACACAGCATAGGAACAGGACATCTCAACCGTCTCAACCAGAAATAGCATGAATAGCATGGAAAAGCCTTGTTGGATGTCTCTGCCTGTTCAAACCTGGTCCAGACAGACACAACCGAAGGCAAAGGCAACAATGTCTCACCATCTCGCTACCACGTCCGCCAACCAAGGCGATCATCCTAGAACGGTGAAACATGGTGAATCAAGTATTTCCCTCGAGTTCGCCCAGGACATCAATTTGTTTGCGCCGAGCAGCAACGAGGCAGGTGCCAGTCCTGGGCATTCTTCCTGCACGATCTGCTGCGCCACAACATGGAATGGACCTCAGGAATACCAAGCCAGCAACTTTCTGAGCTCGTTGCAGTGCAACATGGACCGCATCTTCTGCCCAGGCACTCTGAACATCATCGGTGCTGCTATGGCCTCGCCAAGTCTGCCAGACTGAAACCCCTGCATGCAATGAGCTCTCCCACACATCCACCTGCTATGCAAGGCAACCAGACCGCGAAGCACAAAGGCTGCCATGGGCGCCGGCAGCGCATTGCCACCAAGCATGCCGCTCTACAGACCCTGACACAGAGCAGCCGTGACTTATGAGCTTGTCCGGCAGAAAAATTCATCGGGTCAGTTTGAAGCACGCTTAGCAAAGCACAGGGCTACGAGGCTGCTGCAGAAGGCTCTGGCACATGACGAATCCATGATGTCTCTCTGACGACCAACTCGGCCGCATTGGGCAAAAGAGGGATTCGATTCAGAAACAAGGATGCCCTTCATGCGCAAACAGCCACCCGTCGCCCAAGGCTCCAGCCAGTTCCCGCTTCGTCTCCAGCTCCTGCCTCGACTCACGCAAAGGGAATCCTGTCGGCTTGAAAACACGGTAGGCCCATGGGAGTCTGGCTCGAGGGCCGTCATCTGCTTCTGGGCTCTCAGGCCAACCTCAGCCTCCAGAGATCTCCAGACCCAGGGATTCGGATGCTGAAAGTCTGAAAGCCCTCTTCTCTTGTGCTCAGAAGCTTCGAAGCTTCCCACCTCGCCTCTCGTGCCAAGCTCTCACATTCCTCACGAGCTTGGTGTACCTCGGCCTTGGAGATCACAAGGACATAGCCGGCACCGAGGCAGGTCCAACAGCTGCATGAAAACTCCAAGACTTTGTGGGGGGTGAGCAAAGTTTGCGGATGCTTGAAAATGCTGCAAACGTTTCTCCGGGTTGGAAGAAACGGTCTCCGCAAGAACATCTTGGCACATGAAACGGGATCAGAGTTGAAAGATTTCAATTGGACATATTCACAGATATATGATATGTGCAATCTATACATACACACAAACACATCGACTTTTGAGTAACACCTCCCCATTCGAGCCCTTCCAAGTCCCTCAGAATTTCTTTAAAACCTTAGGCCTTAGGCCTTGCCTCCACAAGGCTGAATCCTTACTCCCGGTATGGCCTAACCAGGGATATACTTCTGCACAGATGCTTCAAACCTAAGCTCGCATATCCGACTGTGGAGTTGGTGGAAGTCTCTGATTGAGAGAGCTGAAGCCGACCGGCTGTTTCAGTGCAACCGAGTGTGTACTTGTCTTGGTCAACAACCCTGTCACCGACTGCGCAGACAACCCCATGCAACTTCCGTTCCGGACTGTCCTAAGGGTGCTAAACCTACGGGCAATGGCGCAGGTGTCTGGATGCAGGGAGGGAGGTAAATCTTAACTCTTAACCTAGTCCTTGGCGCCTGGGAAACAAAAAGGGAAGTGAACATGCCGTGGCCAAAACGGACATGACAAACTGTGCTGCGTCATCGCGGCGAACCTGCAGAAAGGACCTGGCCTGGTGCATCTCGCACTGGCTCCGCAGATCTTCTATCTGCGGTGTGGACGAGGACGGGATGGGTGCAACACGTACAAATTCTCGAGTTTTGCGGCCTGGCTCTATGCTGACAACACCCCGCCCAAGCCTTGCCCTCCTGGACTTGCAGCCTTCGCGCTGCCTCCGTGGATGCTTGCGACACTTGGGCCTCGGTGAGTCAGACTCCAGGCCACAGTGCCACAGTAGAACAGAAGCAAGAAACAGAAGAAAAACGTCTTGGTCCGTGACGAGTTCCTCCTCCAGCTCGTGACTGCGCACCCGCAGCTGGTCTGAATCAGCCTCTCGTCGCGACGGACAGAAACTAGGCTGTGATGAATGTTGCCAGCATTCCTCATCCCGTTCCTCCAGTTCGGTGTTGCGTGCTTGCACTCGGGTGAGTTGTACCTGCCCGTCGGCGTCGCTTGCTCTCCCTCCGAAACTCCGAAGTTTCCAAAGCTGGCGGCACTTTGTCTGCAGTCACTTCGGCTTTGAGACTTGCGACTTCGGCTTGTGCTGCCACCTGGCGACATTCCGAAACGGGTCATGCCACAGAGCTCAGAGCTAGAATCGAGCTGCCTTCATTCCAGCCAGAAGCTGGAGCTAGAGAGTTTCCGTTAATTGGGAGCTCGTGCTGTGCTGCGACCATGCATGATTGACTAAAGGTCTAAGGCACCAAACGACAACAGGCTTCTGCCGAGGAAGATACACCCCAGCACGAACACCAGGCGCAACACACAATCTCCATTCATCCTGAGTGCACAGCCCTGGCACACTGGGCGAGCCACTGTCGTATTGAATGACATGAATGGAGATATTGCACATCATTGAGCACGGCGGCAAACAGAGAACTACCACCCCTCCGACCCACACAAGGTAAATGTCGATCATCCTCGCTATCACCAAGAAGAAATCATTACACTTACACCCCGCATGTGCCCTTTTCCCACCAACTTCCCAAGGCGCAACCGCTAAGCGAAGCAAGGAGACTGAGCCAGAGGACTGAGCACTTATGCTGCTGGAGAAAAAGGCTTTCAGGGCCTACAGTTCATATAACCGTAGAACCATTTCCGAAATGTGCAAGAAGTTGATTGGACAGAAATCAAGCCGAAGGCACAAACTGTCTCTCTGCCTCTTTCATAGAAACCTCAGTATGGACGAAACGGTGCGAATCCGGACTATGTTTTCACAGCTGCTCGGAGCAGGAACGCATACGCTGACTCTCAAGTCTGCCCAAGGTGTGCTCACTCATCTGGCCATTCTCCCGGCGAAGCATGTCACTGACCTGCCGCCCGGCCATGCGGCACTACATGATACTTCAATGCTTTCCCACGCCCTGTCTCGGCATCATACCAAAAACATCCTGGTGGCTTCACTCCCCGGTCACACACAGGAATTTTCTCCCGCAATGCCATCCTTGCCCCTCGTCCTGACTTTCGAATCGGTGCCTTATTAAATGCTGTGCACTCTGTGCCGGAGAAGGCCACTACTCCGCAGGCCCCAGTGTCGGAAAGCACGTGGTGACCGCATATATACAGAAGTAAAGCTAATCAAACTCACTAGTGCAATCGCTGGCCTCTCTCCGGGGTTTGTGGAAGAAGCTGGTCCCATGCTGGACTGCATCGTGCGAACCTAGGGCTTCCGGTACTTGCCACTTCGAGGACGGCGGCTCCTTTTGCAAACAGGAGAGAGAGCCCTGAATTGGCCATTAATTTGTGCAGGGTCACTGTCATTTCAAATCAATGCAGTCAATGTAAAACGCATCATGAACGTATCATGTGAGTCTGGGGGTTGAGATGCAACCTTCAAGCCGTGGCTGGCTGCACACTGCGTGTTATCCTGGTTACACTTTCCAATCATTCATGAAGACCACTGCCTCTGGAGAACGACGATAAAATATCGGATGCACGAGGCAGCACACTAACATTCAGCAAATCCCACAAGTGCTGCTGCTGCTGTAGTTGGCATCCAGCTCAAAACATTGAGATCAGATCCTTCGTGACATGTTTTGCAACGATCAAGACCTGATCACATCGAATCTAGGAATCAAATCTAGGAAGTAAATGCTACTGATTAATGCATCAGCATGCGTCCCTCACTCGGACCGAGACTAGCACAGCGCGGATGTAATGATTCACATCGCTCGGTTGGATTCCTCATGCGCCCATCGGGCCGCATCCAAGCTCCAAGCTTCATCAGAGCAGCGCAGGGCGCACCGCCGCCAAAATCACCAGCAAAGCCACCACCAGGATGCTCACCAAGAACAGCTTCTTCATCGGATTCCACACAGCCTCTGCTTTCACCTCAATCTCAGTAGCTTCACTGCTTTTTTTCGGCTTTGCGGGCTGGCGCTTGCGACTGCTCGGGGCTCCCTCGGGTTCCTTCGCCTTGCCCTTGCCTCGCTTCGTCGCTCCGAGAGTCGAGCTCTGGCCTGGCGGAGTCAGAGCTTTGCCTTTGCCCTTGGACTTCTTTGTGCCCTTGGAGAGGACGGCTTGCTTGTGCGCGGAAGCGGCTTTGAACTGTTCCGCCACCTCGCCAAGCGGCTCCACCTCTTTCCGGGAGGCCCTCACTTGTGCTCTGGAACCCGAGGTTTCCTCTGCAGGAATTCCGGCCGCCTGCCACGTCTCTTGGTCACTCTCAAGTGCAATGGATGCTGCCGGTGGCAGAAGTGGAGGACCTGATTCCTCGGCACAGCCATGGGTACCTGACAGACCTGCCATGTCCTGGCCAGGCTCATCCATCACTTGTTGCTTGCTGCTGTCTGACATGCCTGCCGCATCCTCATGTGGCCAGACCAGCTCTTGTCCCCTACTCTTAGCGAGCTCAAAGGACTCCGTGCCGAAGATGTCGGACACACCTGCTGCATCCCGACTTGACATGCCCAGCTCTTCTCGCTTGATCTTGTCCTGCTCGCAATCATCCAAGCTAGAAATGTCTGACCTGCCTATCTTGTCTAGCTCTAGCTTGCTCTGGTCTTGCTCGCCGGCATCGAAAAGTGATGTCCCTGCAGGGTGCTGACTTGGGCTGTGCAGCTCATGCTGTTCTCCCTCATCGCGCCCTGGAGCGAAATCCAAAATGCCTGCTGTGCACTGACTCGGCCTTTCCAGCTCTTGCAGCTTGCTCTCGTCTTGCTCACTGGCAGCTGGGAGAGAGATGTCTGAGGTGGTGTCCCTCATCTGCTGGAGCTGCTCGAACTTCAAGTTGTCCGCAGGCGCTATTTGCTCGCAGGCATCCAAGCGAGGAATGTCAGAGGAGTCTGCAGCGAGCAGAGGCCGATGCATATGCATGCTCTGTTGGTTGTGCTCGTCACGCTGGCAAGAAAGGATCTCTTGCAGCTGGCTAGCTTCACTGGCTCCCACTCCAAGATAGTCGTCCCTGCTCGCCTTGTTACTTTGCTGGTGGTGTCCGGTGCCTCTCTTGCACTTCCTTCTCCCTCCTTTCGCCTTAGCTTCCGGTACTTGAAAGGGCAGCGCTTCCCTGCTTGCGCCCATTGCCCCAGCTTCCTTCAGCTCGGGTGGCTGCTCAGGCTTCCTTCGGCCTTCGTCAGTTGTCACATCCTTCGAATCCTTGAGTTCTTGATGCAGCCTGCTGCACTCATGCTGCAGGCGGTCAACCTGGTCCTTGACTTCCCGGCATTCTGCCTTCAAGCGATCTCGCTCCTCTGCCTTTTCGTTGATCTCCTGCGAATCACACTATGCTTCCATGAGCCGGCCTTGACTATACAATTAGCATCCACGAAGGGACCGCTGCTCCTCGCGCAGACACTCCTGCGAATTCAAGAAGTCAGTGGCAAACGAGAAGAATCGCAGAACCACAACATGATGAGAAGCTCGACATTGACATGGCGTCCTTCTTTAGTCCGATGCGCAGCTTCACATGATTGTAGTAGTCCCGGGCTGACTGCAAGTCCATGCTGGCCTGAAGCACCGGCAACACTCCACGTTCTTTCGCAACTGGAGACTGAGCTGAGCTAAGTCCAAAGCTGCATCCAGTTTCTGCGTCAACTCCGTGACTGCGCCGATCATCTCATCAACGCCTTCAGGCAGGCGGAAGTTGTATGACCTCGCACAGGGCCGGGTATGTACACAATGCAACCGGCATCATCGCCCGCGAGACTGGCACTTCCTCTTTGCGGCCAAGGCGCCCAGGCTTCATTTGCTTCAGCTGATCATGCAACGTGTCTCGTTCGGCATCGGCCTCTCTGATGAGATCCTTCAACTCTTGTGCCTCCTGGAAGGCCGCCTCGTTTCAGATACAGCTTAAATTCGGTCGAAACGCAGATTGCGGCGAGAACTGCCTCGAGCTTCTGCTGAGCCTCGAAGGCATCGCCGGCCGTACCCATGGCATTGCCATTTTGGCGGCTCCGTTCTGCCGGTGCGGAAGAAGCACGGCACCGAGCCGAGCCCACCTGAGAGGTCTCACGAAGGTTCATCTGCTGCTAAGCAACAGACTACCGGAAACCCGAGCCACTTCACCATCGCTCTCACAGCACTCGATGAACGTGTTTCGGACGTAGAAGCCGTGAGGACAGGCAGCACCTTCGGCTGCACTTTCGGCATCTTTCGGCTAGGTTCTTTGCTCAGCAAGGGGCACCCTCGGAGTCTGTAGCAGACGTAGTCGAATTGTCGAGGTCGATGTCATCTGCTTGGGCCTCAGTCCGACACAGTAGAGCCCGGCAGAGCCCGCCGCTCAACGAAATCCACCGTGCACCGCACAGTCTTGCGTGCCGTCGGGCTCGCATAAATCATCACTACCATGGCTTCGAACAGAAGGGACACTTCAAGGGCCACCTACTGAAGACCAACTTGCGAAAGGCCAGGAAGATTAGGCCAAACGGCTGCAGAAGACCCTCGTCTTAGCGCCGTTTGCGGTCATCAAAGCACAACAGTCTTGCAAGATGATGTGGGAGCATACACCGACTGTATCGAAGCTTCTCCGGCTGGGAGATTCTCAAGCGAGGCCTCTCGTTCCTTGGCGAGTTCGATGAACTTCTTGTTCAGCTGCTCATGCGTGTCGGCCTCGTGCGAGACGCGTCCATACCCTCGCCTAGATTCTGGATGCTTCCTGCTGCCTAGTTCAGTCTCGAGTCTTAGCCCTACAGTAGGGACCGGGCAAGCTCTCGAACTTTGTCTTGCACCTGCGGAGGCGAAGACGGCGGAGGCACACAGAATCAAAGCAGATTCAGCTGAAGGCCTGGACTCTGGTCTCAACCAGCCTTCCAGAACAGCGGTGCATGTGATCTGCACAGTCTTCACTGCCGTCTGTGTGATCAACAAGCATGTGACACATGTCCAGTCTTGGAGTGCTTGTTCATGGCTCACCGCTGTAGCCGTCCAACTTCGTGCAAATCGGCTGCTCCGTTTAGGAGGCCTTCACGACTCTCATCGCCGGTTTGGCTGACAGAGTCGTTGAAATAAGGAATTATGCGTGGCCGAATCGTCACACTCCTGCGGACAGGGACATGCACAAATGCTGAGCAAGCTGGCCCACGCCACCAACATTTTTCTTTCACTATACGCCGTCCTCCAGAAGTGCCTCTGTCTGAGACCGCTGGGGCAGCATGACAGGCACAAGCAGCAGAAGCAGCAGCGGCAGAAAAGCGGCAACACACCTGCCAGTAGAATCTCGAAGGAGTTGCGTGACGAACACCAAGGGCTGGATTTCTGTCGTCGGTTTGCAGCCCAAACACTGCACTTTCCAGAGGCTTTGGAACTGACGCCCCTCTTGCAATGATCCTGCACCGGCACCGGCACCCAGCGATGTGGGCCACGCGTCCGTCAACTTCACGACAGCTATGCGATTTCAAACGTTCGTCCTGTTGGCGAGACCCCGCTGAATGTGAGAAGGTAGCCACCGATGTAGGAGCCTGAAACAGGTCCGCAGCTGTAAGGTGCTGTAAGCAAAGCGCGCATAGCTCAAGGCGGGCAAGATGGGGGTGCAGACAGGTAGCTCAAGATGGAGGCCATGTTGAAGGTCCCCGCATGTAGGCCCAAGGTTGTCGCTTCAACACCCCTTGGGGCCAAATGAGCTGCCAGCACCTGCGCTTCCACATGTGCATTGTTTGCTGAAGTCAAGGCTTTCTTTTCGGCGCCTGTTTCGGGATCCAGCGCCATGCTTGCACCATGCCTGTCAAAGACTCGCACCCAAAAGGAGGAGAGCCCCATGCATCCCATACCCCGTCTTTATTCGTCCCAGCAGCTGTCGAGGCCCATAACCACCAGGAGCCAAAGACTGTCTGGAATTCCAAAGGCCAGCGTCCAACGGCAAAGCACTGGCAACATGGCCAGCTGAGTGCATGCCTGGGACCAGGAGTCTCTGAACTGCTAGAGACTAGAGAGCAGCACAGTAGTTGCATCCTGTTGGCCGTCCGAGGGAAAGATGCTCGATCCGAACGCAAGGACATTTCCCACACACCACACACACGCATGCACGTACATACATGTGGACATACACACATACGTACATTCATTTATGCATATGCATATACATGTGTATGTATATCTATATATATATATATACATATGTGTGTGTGTGTCTGTGTGTACACACACGCGTGCGCCCACGCACACACTCGCTCTTTCTTTCTTTCGCCAGGGCTAGGGACAAGGGGACGCTCTCTTCGCTCCGCAACAGTCGGGGGCGCTAACACACTCGCTCTCTCTCTCTCTCTCTCTGTCTCTATTTGCTTTGCTTTGCTTTGCTCCGGGGCTTGGAGAGTGGGCAGTCCCCGTCCCTGCTCGTTCGTGCGAGCTGCCCCATCCACACCTGTTCTTCGTCTTCCACGGTTGGCGAGACCCCCCGGCCACTAGAGCCCCCAAAATGTTATGGGGCATTGAAGGGATCGTGAAAACTCCCACGACCGACATATTTCGTTTGTACCTATTGTTAACTGTGGGTTCAATATATTTCTCGTGGGTTAGTTGTGGACACCTGCACGAATTTCAGCTCATTCCCCCATCGATTATCCAGAGCAGGTTATCTGTAACAAGTACAGAGCATCTTTCGAGGGTATGGACATGTCGCAGCATTTTTTCACACGATCTGCCAGGCTTCCCCGGTTAGTAGACAAGTGCAACAGCAAAGTAAAAACACAGTCCTGGAAAAGTTTGTGTTAGAGGCCACCCAGGCCTAGGCACTAATCTGCAAACTGAGGTCCCTTCGCATCTTCACATGCGGTAACCGGAGACTGCATTTAACCAAAGCTACGATGTCTGGCCACGGGTCCCTCGATTTTCTCCGTCTCTCTGGCTTGCTTGCTTTCTTTCACCGGGTAGAGGAAGGCTAACTCTCTCTTACTTGCTTGCTTAGGCTTACCTGCTTGCGAGACGAGTGGAGTTCGGGACGCTGCACACAGGCGCTACGCCGCTAGCCCGAGGTCCGCTCTCACTATCGCCTTTTAAGCAACACTGTCCTGGTTGCAAACTCGGCATCCAGCTCGGAATCAAAGAGCTGACAGATATGTGCTTCCCCCGCCCCTCAAAGATCCACGCTTTTACGTGGTTCTTCTGTTTTCACGTTTCGGGGGTCGGAAGGTAGGGGTCTCATAATTTGCAAGCACTGAAGATGATGCCGCGACATCGACGCCAAAGCTGCACATTACGAGAAGGTATTTGAGCAGATATGTTCCAAAAGCGTGCCGTGCTCACACGCAGCTTCCCTCTTCGTCTTCAGTTTGCGACTAAGCTCCGGGCACGCAAGACGAGGGTAACCATGCAAATGCTCCTGACTACTGGCCACTGCCAGCAGGCGAGCCATTGCACAGCCGTTCCCCCTATCTTCATGCGTTGCATCAACGAGGCCTGTAGCTCCACGATCGAAAAATCTCCGGTCCAGTGGCGAAGCCCACAGTGATTCCCAAGAATGATGCCGCACCAATGCCTGCCATCAGTCTTGCACCATGCCCAGCAGCTGCCCCATCACCACGGGCCTGTGATGTAGAAGTGCGGGGTGAAGTGCGGTCCCTCGGAAAACTCCATAGCACTGTCAGTACCTGAGACGGGCGCGCAGCATGCCAGCATCTACACCATGCATTACGCAGCCGAGCTTCAGAAGTAGAACAGTGCTCCATCGATGTTGATACTGAGCAGGCCCAGCAGGAAGAAGAAAGTCACTGGTCCTGCAATCTCCCGCCTGGCAGGAATACATCCTTCCTCATCTCCGTAGAGTGGATGTGACTGGTTTGCCTGGTTGGCCTGCCTGATGAACAACGCGAAGGAGCCGAGCACCACGGCCGCCATGCAAGCGGCGATCGGAGCCAGACGGCGCTCATCCAGCAGGAAAGTGCAGACCTTCCAGGAAGCACTCTGTGCTGGCGCTACTTTTAATGACAACGGCGGTCTGCTGTAGCTTTGGAACGACCCGCTGCCGATGATGCTATGAAAACCAGAACCGTCAAAAATAATGAAACAACCAGTGAAAATCCAAATCAGCAGGATCGACACAAAAAGCAAATAAACTGGAAACAGCATGAGAGAATTCACAAAAGAACATCAGAAACAAACGAGAAGCACACCATAACGACATGGACCAATGGAACAAAATCACGAAACACCTTCTCTAGGAAGCTGTTGCCTGTGCTGTAGCGCTGACTTTGCAATTTTGTGTTTCCGTCTCGTGCTCCCATTTGTCTCATTGGGCCGGGGTCTATGTCCAGCGTGTTGTCGTTGGTTTCCAATTATTGCGTTCCCTCTTTCGCAGCTGTTTCCATTGATTGAAAGCCTGGTTTGTGTTTCTGAATATTTTCCCATGTATGTTCCATCGTTTGGTGCAATCGCGTCCATCGTTGTTCCATTCAACCTCTGGTTGCCCTATACAGTATCTACCAGTTTGAAAAGCGTTGCTTCCTGTGTTTTGACATGTTTCGTTTTGTTGCAAATGTCTGGGTTTTCAGGTCTGCTGGACGTAGGGAACATGAGAAAAATTGAAACATAATTCTGCAAAGCAGACAAATCCGAAAGCATCCGCATCCCCGAGGCAGATCCTGATATCCAATGCAAAACCCAGCTCGCAACACAGATTGGAACCCCCAGAGTTTGACGTCGATGTCCGGTCAGAAGCCGCGAAAACTTCCGAGCCTCAGACGTTGCTGTTCTGCCTCCGCTTTCGCTGCCGCCACGAGAGTGAAATCCAATGTTGGTTCCATTTTCCCCATGTCGCATTTCATTTTTCGTGCTGTTGATGTCCCATGGCAGAGTCAGAAAGATCATGATTTGCTTGTAGCTTCAACCGGTCCAAGGCACAACCAGGCCGAAAGCCAGCACGCCGATCATCAACGTAAGGGCGCAAAGCACACCATGCTGCCTCTGCCAAAGTGAAACCCGGTGAGGCCACAACTGCAGCAAACCCTCAGGTACCCGCTGACACTGATCTCTTCAGACACGCCGAGGAACCGGAAGACCCAAGGAAGCCCGCCCCCGACCCTGCTGAGTTCCCTTTTCTCGCCCATGAAGTTTCCCAGCGCCGGCCACAACACCACAAGAACCTGACGTGATCAGCGTGTCAAAAGCGCTTCATGTGTCCATACTTAAAACCATGGGCAGGCAGTCTCAGCCCAGGTAGCCTAGGGCCCAGGATGGCCTAGACTGCTGAGATGCTGTCAAGGAGCCAGAGGTGCGGCAAAGCGATAAGGCGCTCGCGCACCCATCACAGCAATGACGGGCCCAAGGAAGCAAACACTGAGGACCTGTCCTGCCGTGCAAGATCTCTCTTCCGCCAGCACTGCTACAACAGAGATGTGCTTCCTGCATTGATTCCAAGC